GATGCAAATGTGTGTAATGAGGCGAGGAGGGTAGGAGAATGTAAAGAGAAAATTTAGTAAGAGAGAGGAAGAATTTGGTAGCGTGGCTGTGTTAGTTATTTACTCTGTCAATACACTTATCTTATCTTATACGTCAACACACATCTATTACGTTCTTAAGGACGACTTCTCAAACACCGCTTCGTTACAACTGTTTATTAATTACGACAATGACATGGACACATTAATAACACCTTCTATCGAAGTTACTAGGACATTATATTTACGTTACTAGGATGTCATATTACATTACTAGACACTGATTCTCGGACAAGAACATGAAATGAATACACTTCCCACGTAAGTAACTCATCCCATGAAAAGCTCTGACAAAAACTCACGTGACCTGGGGGAGACCTAGCAGGTGGTCCTAGGTTGTCTCTATGGGAGACTGCTTAGCTGGGCACCGGTGTCGAGGGCAAATCGCTCCCGACCGGAGGCAGCTGGCCTCCTGCCCTCTCTGTCTGACTTCTCTCGAGCGGGACTGGAGACGTTGTTGCTGGCTCTTCTTGGTTACAAGACACTCTCTCGTGAGGGAGGGCTACGACGTCCTATATATTGGGAGACAAGCCGTCAGGTTGAGCTAATCGGGGGGGCGGCAAAGGGTCTCCTTACATTTGACCTTGCTAAAGTAGAGTCAGGTCTGGACTTTTTCTGAGACTAAAGTTGTTGTAGGCAGGTGGCCTCTTCTGACTGGGTGCTTGTTAACATAGTTGGTGGGGCCGTGTGACATGGGAGGTGCTGGTTGATTTCTGGCCCCCTTGAGCGGTTGCGAGGGTTACTCTTTCACTTGACCCCCCTAATGTCGGGTCAGGTCTGGACCTTGTCTGAGATGTACTGTAGGTTATTGTGTAAATTGGGGGAGGGTCGGCAGGTGGCTCCTTCTGACTGTGTGTCTCTTACATATTTGTTGGGGCCGTGTGACATGGAAGGGATGCTGGTTGATTTGTGGCTCCTTTAGTGGCTGTGAGGGGTACCCTTACATTTGACCCCCCTGATGTTGGGTCAGGTCTGGACTGTTTCTGAGATGTAAGCTGTGGTCTGACAACCCATCACTACATGTGAAAAGAAAGTTATCTGTAAATCTTCATTTGTATTAGGTATTTGTAGACTGAAAAATAAATATTGTAGGTATGGCATTTATAGATTGTAAGCTTGTAAGAGTTCAGAAATGGTTACTGCTTAGCTACTTCTGAACAGTTGGGTGTCTGCCTACGGACATTAATCGTCACAGGTTATCGTCGTCAGTTCAGTACAAACTAGTTATAAATAGAGCTTTTATCTTTATAATAATTATTTTTAATTAATTAAAAATAATAATAATGTGTTTAAGTAAGCAATAACATATTTTTAATTCTGAAGTTGGGGGTAGGTGGAACTTAGCTTACTGGAGGCAGCACCTGTGGATTTATTAGCTTACGGGAGACCGCACCTTCACATATAGGACGCAGGCTGTTATTTTTTTTGATAATTTTCAGACAAAAGGGTGTGTCTTATATGCTGTAAAATACGGTAACTAAAAGTATTGTTACATTGACAAAATGTTGCTCAAGTAGAAGTAAAAGTATCCAAAGTTCATTGTACTCAAATAGAAGTAAAAAGTATTTCATTCATAAAGTACTCAAGTACTGAAAGTAGAAAGTAACAACAAAATTATTGTCAAATATTAAAATAAATCCATGGTAAATTATAAAAGACTAGTTAATTAAATATAAAATAAAAGAAACATAGCATTACGCATGTTTCTTTGCAAATATTTCTATTGAGATTAATCAATAACTGATTCTTGAAATTATGGCTGTACAATGAGGTTCTTTTAAGCCTAAATATAAGCCCAGCATGACCTACCGAAAGAGAATACATTCAGGCGCTCTTCTCCCTACAATCCATCGCTGAAAATATATCCATCCAACACGATAATCACTTTCTTTCTTATTCACACAAGTATAGTCCACGTGGACTTATGGTCTGCAGACATAATGTTGTCTCTGCTCGCATTAGATGAAGATACAGACCTGCCTTGCAAATATCTGAGGCAGGGGATGACCCGCACTTCTCTTCCAGTAAGCTCTGTAATTGTCCCAACGTTAACACCCTGTCATGGACCTCCGACCACAGGACGATTCACAAACCACTTTATGTAACAACCTACTTATTTGTAATAATTTAGATTTAATTCTTGTACACTACCCATGCTTTGGTGGGTGCTAACTCCCATTGCCCTTAAATCATATCAATATTGTCTCCATATCACAAGTCATAGCGTGTCCTGTGAGACACGAGTACCAATGTATTAGTGTCTGACCGCATGGTGTTGTGACTAGGCTTGTTGCCTTCTGGGGTGTAATATATTAATTAAATAATAAGCCCAACATGACTAAACAGATACTCAGAAGCAGCAGATGCAGGTAGTGGGGTGTTAAACTTCAGAGAGGAGTTACATAATGTCAGGAAAGACCTCGGTAACTCCAATTCATCCCCTGGGCATGCCAAGTAGCTATCAAGCTCCTTCATTTGAGGAGCTTGTGAAAGATTGTTGCCTCCATAGTGACTGAGTCTGACTGAGACTCACCATGAACTGTCCCTCTATTTGGGGTGTGGCTGTAGTGACATCACTTTTTTATTCCAATTGATGAGCGACTGAATTTTTCGCTCCATGTAACATCTGGCAGATGCTGGGGAGGGCAGTGGTACTTAATTATTTAATCAGAATTTTAAATACAATCAGTCTCACACATTTTTATAGATACAGGCTTTATATTAAGGCAGAATTATGTAAAGCATTTTAGAATCACAGCCTCTTTGAAATTAATTTTAAGTACAAGTACTGTACAGGTATATGCAAAGAGCAACTGATGTCTAACAGGACGTCCAAGCACCTGAAGGAAGGGTTGGGGAGGAGAGAGGGGATTCGATGGGCGAGAGGGGGGGTGGGGGGTAAGAGGGTAGGCTAGGTGAGGTGGGTGGTCAAGGTGCTAATTGACACAAGAAGATAAAAGAAAAAGACCTCTGTCATGGCCACTGCCACCTGACCTAACCTCACCTCACCTCACGAGACCTCTAGGTATGTGACCACATGGTGTCTCCCCATACCCACACCATACACTTCACAGCTCCACCTACACAACTATTTTACTATGGTTAATAATTAATTAATTAAAAAATATGTTGTTAGTTTGCAGGTAATGAGTAACGATTTTTGTTTATTAAATTTTATTGCAGTAAAAATATTAGGAAACCATACTTAAATATAATTAAAAGTACTAAAAAATTTAGTTCATTTTTAAAAGTAAATACCCAAAAATGTTACTTGAGTACAGTACTGTACAGTACTTAAGTGAATTTTGGTTATTTTACTACTCTGCATATCCCTGTCATAAGTCGGGGACTGCATGTACTGTATTGGAATGTGCCAATCATTTCCTTCTTTATAATTTTTTTCAGATTGTTGTTCAGGTTTTAAACAATGGTAATTAGTTATTTATAATAACGTTGATATGAGGAGAAATATTGAATACGAGGGTGGAAATCACGATTTGTTTTTCATGCGGTATTTACCAACACAGGTCATACAGAATCTCAATAGATCATCCAAAATCCTCCTTGCCCATCAATCATTGCTTCCCCAGCCTAAAATTATATCATTTATATGAATTAAGAGTTCAATTATGGTATGTTTTGTTTATAATACACACTCAAAATTTTTAATTTTAATATCTCAAATACCAGCAAACCGTAAAAAATACTCAAGTTCCCAGACTCCTCCCAGAGGGTTAACCAGCATCTCACAGTCTGCCTGGTGACCCCAACCTCCCTTGCAATTTTTTACACATTGTAGTCAGCCACGTACAAACCAATAATTTGCCTGTGACTCGTCATTCGACGTTCCTTAACGTCTCCATCCTGGGTTGGGTGTGAAGCAGTGGCTAGACACCCTTGCCACTACCACTTCATCACCTCGCATTGATTTTCACAATTCTAATAAACATATTACAGGGTGGACAAGTCACATTCTATCCAAGAATTCAATCATAATTTTTTCTTTAATTAAATTTTTTTCAAGAATGATAGTGGCGAGAAGTGGAAGTGATTAAATATAGCAGCCTAGTTACTTAGTGTTACTGGTGGTGTACAAGCCATGCCCTCTCCCTTCTTATGTTGTCATATCAGGGTCAACCCTAATGACAAATTACCTGCGAAAAGCTCACTCATTCCTCCCCTGGTTGGTTGGTTGCTTGGGCCTATCAGCTGTCATGGTCATTAAGGCCATCAATTTCAAATAACATCCACCTTCTTCAAGTGTTAAGGATAATTCTAGGACCACATACTCTCTCACTACAAATGTTGTGGTCCTTGACTTGCTCCCTCCTACCTTTCCCGGGTCCGCCTCCTCTAGCTATCCCCCCATCAATACCTCCCCTACCCTCTTGTGACCCGTCATGTAGAAAAGCCTTGAGCTCGTGAGTATGGTAGTAAGAGGGGTGGATGATTACCGTTGATCGCAATTGTACATAACATAAGGTAAATGAAAATAAGTTTGTATTTTGTAAAAAAATTATTGTTTATTTTTAATTTATTTTCTTTATTTTTTATAAATGTATTAATTTTATGTATATTTATAAATTATTTGAGTTGTTTAGACATTTAATCATTATAGCAGCAGGATATAAAACTTGTTTGGGCTCCTTAGGATCTGAAACGGAACCTATCTTTCCCCCTAAGTTATTAATACTGATATATGATCGATCACTTAACGATGGCTCTTTTAGGTCCTTAACCCCATTGTATAGTGGTCATTGATTGTAATGTAATATTTCCTTATGTGGGCTTCAGTTTGATCTGAGTCTGTTTTTCAAAATTTAGGTAAAAAGAAGCTTTTGTCTCACTACATCTTCCATCCAAGACTGACAACAATTGATGTGTCTGACTTTGATATTAATTTTTTATGTATTTTTTAACAGGTGACTCCTTTCCTGAGATGTCCCCTGGTAGCAGCTGTTCATTTACATCTGGAACACCTTCATCTGATCATCGCTTTCCTGATTTCATAGCTGAAAAAACTGGAAGTGGTTCATATTATGGCTATTCTGAAGATGATGATTCCTCACTTGACCGACCTATTAGAACCAATTCAGTTGGGTCCAAACCTGAACAGTTTAGAAGTCGGAAAAATAGGTAAGCCCTATTATATAATATGTGATTTCTTTCTTTATATTTCCAAATTTTAAAGCATGTTGGGAATATTTCATCATAATGTTAATATTAGCAGCTTTTGCATGAATGGGGAATGCTGTGAGATCCTAGCTAAGCATTTCAGGTCCTAAAAATTTATTTATACAGTGAACCCTCGAAGATCCTGACTAAATGGGGAAACCACCTGTCCGAATCTTGTGGCGAATGTACTAGTGTATAAAAACAATAAATAATTATAAAAAACACCAAAAATATAGTACATATTATTCTGACCACTGGGGTTAGTTATACAGACCGTTTCCTGTGAAAAAGCCATAATTTTGTGCAACATATTACTGTACTCACTTTCTACTCAAATGTACTACACTAAAGGAATAAATTTTTATGTCTTTTACAAACTATGTGATGTCTACACTCAAATTATTTGATATCTTGCAAGGATTCCAGCAATGCAAGTTATAATCTGCTAAGTTTAGTCTGTGACGTTTTATAAGATAAAAACTTTAAGCCTAAAACTACCTTCACCCTGGCTGGGAGGAGTTGAGGTCTTGAGGTGTTGACAGCCAGGCAGAGGGGAGGAATGGGGAGGTATTGACCAGCTGGCGGGGAAATTACCCAGTGTGTAGTCATATAGAGGGAGTTTAAGTTTTCCATTAGTAAAATGTCAATGAATAGACTTGGCAGAATATAACTTACATTGCTGGGATCCTTATAAGATTGTGATTAATTTGAATATAAATAGTTTGCACTAGACATAAAATTTTCAGTAATCATTTAGTACATTTAAGTACAGTACAGGTTTGCCCTTAGGACAATTATTTCTTTTACTTTTTTCATAATACAGTATATATTTAGGATGGTGTGTACATGTAAATGAGTGAAAATAAATTAAGAAAGTTATGTACAGTATATCTACCCAAAAATACGAGTTGAAAAACTTGTACTTCAATGCACTAAAGGACTAATATTTATATCTCTTGTGTAAAATATATGATGTCTATTCACAAATTATTCACTATATTGGACGGATTCCAGCAATGTACGTTTATTCTGCTATAGTCTGTGACATTTTATAAGATAAAAACTTTAAGCCTAAAACTACCTTCACCCTGTTTTGGGAAAGCTCCTTAGGGAGCCTTCTTAGCCAAGACCCCCCAATTTTTTGTCTGAATCTTACGAAATTCAGATTTACTGGGTCTGGATCTTCAAGGGTTTACTGTATACACCCACCTCTCGATTTACACGGGAGTTACGTTCTTGAAAATCACCGCATAATTAAAAAACGAGTAAATTAAACATATTTTTCCCATAAGAATGCATGTAAATGGTACAGGTATGGGGACTCCGAGCATATGAGGTTTTCTTTCCACTTGCAGTTGTCCCTGATTGAGCACTGTTCTTTATCTTCTCAGCATTGTCTCAAATTGTACGAACAGTGCTCTTGCTTAAACCAAGCACGCGGCCAACATCTGATACACGTTCTCCTCTCAGAAGGCGGTTGGTTGATCACATCTTATTTCACATCCATTGCAATTGTTTCTCGTGCCTTTTTAGCTTTAGGCTCCCCAGAGGAGTCAGATGGATGTTTTCCAGACATGTTCAATGGGGAAAACAGCGTTTAACACTAAAAAGGTACGTGATAAACACACAAAGCAAATGAACGCACAAAGCAAAAGTAGTGCAGATGTGAACTGAGAAAGCGGTATGCGGGAAGCTTGCTGGACACCGTCACATTGTTGTACAGTACTTCATTATCTTGATCATCATCATCATTAGTAGTAATAATCTTTATTATTACATTATTATAATAATAATTATTATTATTATTATTAATAATACTGTATTAAAATCGTTGATGTTGATATGAATGTGACTTTATAGTAATACACGCACCTCACCATGCATCACACTCGACTCTGCTGCCAGGCGAACATGAGACAAATTTCAAATTTGAGCTCGTTATTTAAAAAAACAAAAACAGATGCACTTAAATTAGGTTTTGGTATTAACCCTCTCAGCCTCGGAGCCCGAGATACATACGTGCATGAAAACTTACGCTCAGCCTTGGAGGTTGTTGCCGAAAAATCGTTGAAAAAAAAAAAAATTTTAGGGCTCATTTCATTGCCATGGAATTGTTTTATTCATTGTAATGGGGTCTCTTCTAGTGTAAAATTGTCTGAAAAATTGTATGAAACCATAAAAAATTGAAAATTCGTGAAATTTAAGCCACTTTTTTCGAGTATAAGTTGTAAAAGTAGGAATGTTTAGTAACATTTCGATTTCCATTCACATTTTCCTTGTATTATGTGTTCATTGATTTGTACTATACAGTGTCTCCTCGACTTACGACATATTCGACTTATGATAACCCGGACATACGACCGCCATGGTCGTAAAAAATATTTTTCACATGATGTATTTTCGAGTCACGACGTTTGATCGTAATGTTACGCCATATGACAGCTTGGGCTGGGCCGCATCGTGGTGTACAACATCCACGCTGTAGCCCGCTCAGTTGGTGTTTGGCCGCCGTTGTTGTTGTTAGTGATCGCACTGTGTTCTGACAAAATTTTCGTTAGTAATTCCCATTAAAATGGATGGCAAGCGTAAAAGTGAGAGTTCTCGTGGTGCTGAGAAGAAAAAGAGACAGTCAATTACTTTTGAGATGAAAATTAAAATAATAACGCAATATGAAAATGGAAAGACGGTAGCAACCATTTCACGCGACCTTGGCTTTTCTCACTCGACGATATCAACAACTTTGAAGGACAAGGAACGAATTCATGAGGTAGTGAAATGATCAGCACCTGTAAAGGGAATGATAATAACGAAAAAAAGACAAGGTCCTCTTCATGAGAAGGAGAAATTACTTGTGATGTGGATGGAAGATTAGCTGCAAAACCATGTACCCTTAAGCCTTCTAACCATACAGGCTAAGGCAAGAAGCCTTTTCGAAAGCCTAAAAGAGCAGGCAGGAGATGAGTGTGACCAAAACTTCACAGCAAGTCATGGGTGATTCCAAAGGTTTAAGAACCGTTACAGTTTGCACAGTGTAAAGATGAGTGGAGAGGCAGCAAGTGCTGATGTGGGTACTGCTGAAGCTTATAAGGAGGAGCTAGATTGTGTCATCGCTGAGGGAAAATATTTGTCTGAGCAAATATTTAATGTGGATAAAACTGGCTTATTCTGGAAGTGCATGCCAGAACGGACATACATCCACAAAGAGGCGAAAACTATGCCAAGAGTCAAGGCATTCAAGGACTGAATCACACTTCTGTTGGGGGGGAATGTAGCTGGTTTCATGGTAAAACCCTTCATGATATATCATTCAGAGAACCCAAGGGCTTTTAAAAATGTCAGCAAGCACACACTGCCAGTGTTTTATCGCAGTAGCAAGGAAGCATGGATTACCCTAGCACTGTTTGAGGATTGGTTCCTGAGTTGTTTCATTCCACAAGCCAAGGAGTATTTTCTGCAACAAGGGATTGCGTTCAAGATTTTATTAATTTTAGATGATGCTCCGGCACACCCACTACACCTGGACGACCTGCACCATGATGTTAAGGTAGTCTACCTTCCACCTAACACTACCTCTATCATCCAACCCATGGATCAAGGTGCTATAGCTGCTTTTAAAGTTAATTATTTACATACGAACTTCGCTCAGGCTGTTGCTGCTACTGAAGGTGAGAAAACGCTTAGAGAGTTTTGGTAGGACTACATCATTTTGCAGTGTACAAAGAACATAGCTCCAGCATGGGATCAGGTTACAGGTCAGTGCATGAATGGAATATGGAAGAAGGTCCTGAAAAGATATGTAAACAGTTTCAAAGGATTTAATGAAGATGAAGCATTTTCTGAGATTAGTAACAAGATAGTGGAGTTAGGTCAACAGCTGGAGTTATAAATTGATAATGAAGATGTTGAGCAGTTAGTGGAAAGTGTAGCAGTAGAGCTAAGTAACGAGGATCTTATTGAACTGGATGCACAGAAAATTGCAGAGGAAGAAGAGAGACAAAATGTAAAAGAAGAACCTACACCCCCAAAAAGGTTTCAGTGAAACAAATGGCAGAGACATTTGCTACTACAGGTATTAATAAGGGGATGCAAATGTTTGAAGAAATGGATCAAAATGTTGAGCATTTTGCAAAAGTTGTCAGACTGATTCAAGATGCACTTGCTTGCTACAGGGAGATTTACAATGAAAAGAAAAAGCAAACTGTGCAGTCTAAATTGGACATATATTTTAAGAAGTTCCCCACTGCTGTCTCCTCACGCCCCACCACTGCGGCCTCTTCACTCCCTAAAGATGATCCAATACCTTCATCTTACCACCTGCCTCTTCACTGACGTCGTCATCATCATCATCTACCATCTCCTCGGTAGTCACATGAGGTTCCATTATCACCTCCAGGATGTCGTCGTTGGTGGTCTCGGAGAAGCCTGGAACTGTAACAGTCTGCGCAGCTTCTCTGGCAAGGTCCACTGCTACTGCAACAGTCTGAACCTCACCAGTCACAGATTGACTCCTCCTCTCACCTGGTATTCCATGCAACACATGTCTCCATGCGTGACGAATTGTAGCAATAGACAGCTGATCCCATGACTCCACCAAGAAGTCCACAGCTTTCTTGATGTTAAATACTCTCCAGAATTGTTTGAACAGTATTTTTTGCTGTGCCAACTGTTGATCCTCATCTTCTTCACTCTTGCTATCGGTGGTGGTGTCACTCAGGTTGCGCAACTCTTCCCTGGTGTTGGTGTAGTCGTTCAGGAGTTTGAATTTTTTCATAGAGAATGCAGCTTTTACATTACAGATTAACTCTTGGTCCATGGGCTGTAATATAGACGTAGTGTTGGGAGGAAGGAAGACCACTTTTACGTTGGGGTGACGATCTAACAGTAGGGGCGAGTGTCCTGGTGCGTTGTCCAGCAGCAACAAAATCTTGAATGGCACATTCTGTTGCTCACAGAATTTCTTTACATCGGGAACAAAACAGTCATCAA